ACATGTATCCAACTATCAAACCAAGACTAATTTTGGTCTAAAATTGATAACATGACATATATTTTGTATTTTAGTGTATAAATACTTAACTAGTAAATTAAATTCATAATATTTTATATATTAACTTGTTAAATATATTTTATTATTAACTTAATTTGGAGATTTTTTATTTTTTATTTTATTTAAAAATATATATATTATTCTTATCTAAATTTTTAAAAATATATTTTATTCTTATTTTAACTTCAAAATATTTTAACATGAAATATACACTTTTAAATTAAAATAAAAATAAAATATTTTTAAATCAAGTTAATAATAAAATATATTTAATAAGTTAATATAAAAATAATTTTTAAAGTTAATATATAAAAAATATTATGAATTTAAGTTACGTTTTTATATAGTAAGATATAAAATATATACATCATGTTGTTTATTTTAGACCAAGTATTGTTTTTGGTTCAATAGTTGGATATATGTTTGGTTTTCAATTGACATAGGTTTGAATTGTTTTGACTGTAATTTGATTTGCTTTATTTTCTTTCAACCAGATGATGACACATGTCACCCTTCGAATGGTGGAAAATAAATTAAAATAAAGTTAGTCTTTCAACCGAATGGTGACACATGACATCATTCAATTAGAGGAATAAATTTATTTTAATTCATTAAAAGTATGATCAAATTAAGATAATATATAAATAATAGGAACTAAATGTGTGATTATACTAACATATTTAACTATCATGTCACCTAATATGTTAACTGTTAACGACGATTAATCTATGATGACAACACCTTAATTAAATAAAAGCGAAAATGATTATATGTTATGTTTTTTTTTTTGAAATCAACCAAAAAAATGAATAAAACACAAACAATAAGTAATCAATCATGTAATTAACTAGATATACTATTACCGAGAATTTTATGCTCCAAAGAAGGTGTCATGCCAAGAATCAATACGTATGGCGATTGAGATTTGCATCTGCCACAGTTGCTTCCATCCTCCTCCCCATACCTATCATAAAGATGATAAGGATTTGCATTTGATTTGGTTTAGGATGATTGTATTCACTTCACTGACATTTGCCTCCTCATTCATTAAATATGATACACTTATGAATTATTTCATATATGATTTCTTAAGGTAATTATTATTTCACATACGTTATGCCACTTGTCTTGTATATCTTGAATATATGAATACTACTTACGGGTTAGTTCAAGTGATAAGTAGTTTGATATTATTAAACAATGTCTCAGAGTCTTTGTGTACGCAGAAAATCTCCGTTAATAGACTCATTCATCAAAATCAGGTGTGCAACTCGATCGGCCAAATTAATCAATGTGAAATCTTAGAACTGGAAGTCAATAAAAAAATATGAACATTAAAAAATAAAAATAAAATCGAATATTATAATTAGCAATCATTTGGTTGGCCAACTAATCACGTCCAGTATCACATGTCTCAATCGTTCACGCTGGATACTGATATGGATCCCAATACTTGTTATAATATTTACATTCAGTTATTATTATTATTCATAATAAATTTGTATTTTTTTATATTTGTATATTATTATTTAAGTCCTATATCATTACTAAATCCGTTTACTTTTGATGAGTGATGAATTCAAGAACTCTAATATGTACACACTGTACATTTTATTTATTTAAATCAAATATGCAATAAGTATGAACCAACTTATTTCAGTGGTTAAAAGAATCATTGTTGTTCTTAAAGGTCATAAATTCGAGCACCAACGACTGTAATAAGGTGATTGAGCATTCATTGTTAAATGTTTGAGAGTATTTATAACATATACTACTTTATAATCACCTTAGCTAAATAAAAAAATCAGATATGCGTAAATAATGTTATTCAATTCAAATTTTTATCAAGACATTTATTAATATTTAACATGAATAGTAAACATATTTGAATTTTAAAATACTTATATAGATTTATACCGAAATATTATTAAAAATATATCAGTAATATTTTTCTCAGTGATCAAAATCTTATTACCAGCGTGGCATTACAACAATTTTGTCAGTAATATTTATGAAATCTAAACTGATAAATTATTTTATAATATCTTTAATTTAGTCAAATTATTGCTTTGTCAAACGAAAATTACGTGTATATATATATATATATATGTATATATCAAAGTTCACATGGATGATCATGTGACCAGTGACGGAGCTATGTAGGTCTTGGAGGCCACTCCTCACCCCCAAATTTTTTTTTACCATTAATAAAATAAGAATACTTATCAATTTAGACCTTTAAATCTTTGTTTATTTTAGTTTTACCCCTCATTTTCTATTGTTAATTATATTTTCCCCTAAACTAAAATCCTGATTCTGTCTCTGCATATGACCTTCCCGAACTAACCCAAAAAATAATTAAAAAATCACATGGGCTATACATCTTTTCGGCTACATTAGTGTCTATGTAATGCAACCGTCAATACACGGATCTCTTCTAGAAATTAACAGAGTGCAATAATTTCATAGTAATTTTAAATTGTAGATGTATGATGTGTGTACTTATTAGTGTTAAATACAATCATTAGTTGTTAAAATATAAATAATATAAAAGAATATATACAAGTGTAAAATTTAAAAAAAAAATTAAATTTACATTAATACAATTTTTTTGTTGTCATCCAGTTCCAAGACTTTGTCATGATTAATCTGGACCGACCCAGGTCGCACACCTGACTTTGATGGGTGAGTCTCCCAACGAAATTTTTTTACATACACAATATACTAATTTCACGATTAAACAAAAAGGATACTGTCATTATTGATCTCATTGGTTCATGATTAACTTAAAAAATGAAATGATCAAATTTTCTTTAATTAGAAAAAAGTACTTTGATATTGTACATAGTACATGTATAAAAAATTATTAATAATTGTTGTCAAGTTGCTTAATTAGTTAATGATGGAAGCCAAATGGAGTGGGATTCTCACATGGAATTTCTTGAGTTTGCCAGCCTCCCTTGCATCTCCCAATACATTAATTTTAAATCAGCTAATATCAGATTCCAATTCTAATAAATAAACACTCTTTTGCATGTGAATCTGGTACGGGATTAATCACTCAATCCAGCATTTCCTAACTTTGTGATTTAGGTTAGTAGAATTTAAATTACTATTTAGGGTCAAGTATACAAATAGTCCACTGACTATAAGATATTGTTTTATTGAGTCATTTTATTGTTAAATATTACAAAATGGTCCCTCAACTATCGGGAGTTGCTTTGTTGAGTCCCTCGACTATTAAATGTTGCAAATGGTCACTCGTCTATTCATTATGTTCCAAACTCATACTTTTTCGTTGAAAAATTAACAGTCATTTGAGTTGGACGTTAATATGTTGACTGATATATGATAGTAATTTGATATTATGAGATCATGTTTTATCATATTTCAATCAGTAGGTTAACATACAACTCAGACTGTCGTTAAAATTTTAATGAAAAATGACGAGTTTGAAACATAATGAATAGTCGAATGACCATTTTGTAGTTTTTAATAGTCGAGGGACTCAACAAAGCGACTCCTTATAGTTGAGGGACCATTTTGTAACATTTAATACTCAAGGGACTCAATAAAGCATTATCCTATAGTCGGGAGACCATTCGTGTACTCTACCCTATTATTTAATAGTTAAAGTTTTATTTTAATATTAACATTATACTAAATATTTTTTTAAGCTTTTAAACCGATCATAATGATTTTTTTAGCTGACCCTATTCCTATATGTAATGAGGTAAGGGGGAGGTAGGGTAGTAGGCTGCCCCCAACGCCAGGTTGAGAGCAACTTCCGTGGAAGACCTCCGTTATGAATTGCCCTCAGTGAGACTCGATCTCACGACCACAAGATTAAAAGCATTGCGCTTTACTAACTGAGTTAGATGGGCAATTCTATCATAATGATAAAATAACTAAATAAAAAAATATTTCATATCATGATTTGAATAAATGTAATTATAAAATACTCTTCAAGTTACATTAATTACATATATTAGTATTTTTATATGTGATTACTATAAATAATAGAGTAGCTAATTTGAAAGAATGTTCCAAAGCTATTCATTAACAAAACCTTTAATTTGATTAAAATAGTATGTTTTAACATAAAAAAAATTAAAGCTAAAGGCTTAAATTCATAAAATATTGAACCGTCCAAAAGTAAGAGAAAACTTAAGAGATGGGTTGAATTGGAGAAAGCATTTTGTTAAGTCTAACATGAAATGATTAGGGTAAAATACACAAATGATTCCTGTTTTGTTGAGTCCCTTAACTATTAAAAGTTACAAAGTAGTCCGTCGAATATAGAGTGTCGCTTTGTTAAGTCATTCCGGTAATTAAAAGTTACAAAATGGTCACTCGATTATTAATATGTTTCAAACTCATCATTTTCCGTTAAAAAACTATTTTCAGTCAAAGTTGGACGTTGATAAAATCGATATTACTGGCACCATCGTTACTTTTAAGCATTGGTTTGACGACATAATATTTCAAGTACTAGCTCGAAAATATATTGTATACAGAGTCTCGATCCACAAAATACAACTCAAACAATTATATGATTAGATTTTATGATATCTCAATGAGCAATTTAACGTTCAACTCAAAAACCATCATTTTAAGAAAAATGACGAGTTTGGAACATATTGATAGTCGAGTGATTATTTTGTAATTTTTAATAACCGAAAGACTCAACAAAACGACGCCTTATAGTTAGGAGATCATTTTGTAACTTTCCGTAATCAGGGGACTCAATTAAACATCACTCTATAATCGAGGATCATTTATATATTTTACTCAATATTTTTTATTCAAATAGTTTCCTACTTATATTTCATTATTTAAAAATGGTTGCTAAGCACCTTCCAATTCTATGGAGCGTTGGAGCTTGTTTATATTATATAAACAACCGAAGGCTTTCATCAAAAGTAGGTTGAACCGTTTTACTTTGGCAGCAAGTTCAAAGTGCGTTTAATGGATTCAAGTAGAAGAAAGTCCAACAAGATCAGAGAGGTGGTCAGGCTTCAACAGATCCTCAAGAAGTGGAAAAAGATAGCAAATGCATCCAACGACAACAACTCCGCCGCCAGCAGCGGCGGAAGTGGAAGTCGAACCATAAAGTTCCTGAAGAGGACGCTGTCGTTCACAGAGGTTTCGTCTTCGTCTTCGTCGTCGTCGTCGACGCCAAAGGGGTTCGTGGCGGTGATGGTGGGGGAAGAGAGGAAGCGGTTCGTGATACCGACGGAGTATCTGGGACACGAGGCGTTTAGGGTATTGCTAAGGAAAGCAGAAGAAGAGTTCGGGTTTCAACAGGAAGGGGTTTTGATCATCCCCTGTGAGGTTCCGGTGTTCGAGAAGATCCTGAGAATGGTGGAAATAAAAAAGGATGGCATGTTCTTGCATGACTTTGGGTTCACCACCCTTGATGCTTCTTCTTCTTCTTCTTCTTGCTGTGCTTCACCGGACGCCGCCGAGTTACCGACGCCGCCTCATTATCCCCAAATGTGTAGATGACCGGGATCATACTTCCAAATCCCAGTGCCTTCAACAACCAACAAAATTTTTAAGTGCTTTTTCTTTCTCTTTTTTGCAGAAAAAATATTATTAAAAATAAAAAATAACTTTTGAAATGCTATTGTCGTCTTATCTTATTTCATCTTATTATAATAGTTATTTTTTTTATCAAAATAGATAAAGTGTTATTTATATAAATTCTCTAAAGGTATATGTCGATTTTTTTGTCAAATTGGATATTATTGTTTATAAAAATAAATACTTTATAACATATATTTTAATTAAATAATTAATTATTTGATTTATTGAATTTTTTTATTTTATATTATTTTAATATTTAAATGTCAATATATATATATTGAAATAGTGCTTTAATATTAGTTATATTTTCATTAATATTATGCTTGTGGTATCTATGATACTATTTTTAAACACATTACCTATATTTAGCTCATATTATAAATTTAATTCAAAATATTTTATTCATATAATGTAAATAAGTAAATTTGATTCAATTTTTTTGATAGATTAGTTTTATTAAAAATAGAAATTATTCAGAATTATAATGAAGATTTACGAGTATAACCGTAAACGTAAACTAAAATATAATTAGGAAAATTTTCTATAACCATTAACACAAAAACTAACCACCTAGATCACACAAGGACCATAAAAAGAAAATGTTAAAAAATCTAACCAATGCTTGAATAAAATAAAGATACATATAAATATGTCTGTATCGGTAAACGAACCACAAAAGGGGATGAAACTACTAAAAGACCACTGACAAATCACAAATCAGAGTCAAACAACGTGAGAAAACTATCAACGAGCGCAAAACGTGTATCCAAATCAATTTGAGGTCCAAAGCAAGGAAGATCAACATGATAACAAATAAGTGATATCTTGATCAGTCATGACGATGTCAAATCCAATCTTGTGAAAAAATAAGAAACGGAAAAAATAAGGGCAAAAAACCGTAAGCTACCAAAAGGTAGAGAAAAACATGCCACAAAGACAGAGATAAATATGTCATAAAGGCAGAGAACATGTTACAAAGACATAATTATTCTTATTAAAAAACTATAAAAAAAAAATCGGCGGCGACAACTAACATCAAAATAGGTACCGCCGTCGGTTAAACAAAATTAAAGAAGAAAAAGATGGTTTGATCAATAAAATTGACACAAGTTGTAAAGAAGAAGAAGAAAAGGGAGAGAGATGAGGAGGAAGAAAGTGATTAGGTTTGTTACAATCCTTTAATTTTATTATTTTTGAAATTTGTAAATTTGATTCATTTTTTTATAGAAAGCCACTAGTTTTATTAAAAATAGAAAATATTCAGAATGACAATGAAGATTTACGAGCATAACCGTAAATGTAAACGAAATTATAATTAGGACATTTTTCTATAACCATTAACACAAAAACTAGTCACTAGATCATAAAAGGAAAATGTTAAAAACCTAACCAATGCTCGAATAAAATAAAGATACGAAAAAAATATGATTGTATCGGTAAACGAACCACAAAAGGGAATAAAACTATTAAAAGACCACCGACAAATCACAAATCAGAGTCAAGCGACGTGATAAAACATCTACTAGCGCAAAACGCATATCCAAACCAATCTGAGGGTCTAAAGCAGGGAAGATCAACACGACAACTAATAAACGTCATCTTAATCAGTCGTGGCGATGTCAAATCCAACCTGTGAAAAAAATATAAACGAAGAAAAAAATCGTAAGCTACCAAAAAGGCAGAAAAAAATTGTCACAAAGGCAAAGATAAACGTATATAATACAAAAAACATGTCACAAAGACATAATTATTTTTATTAAAAAACTAAAAAAGAAAAAGAAAAAAGATAACTGGCAAGCGACAACCAACATCAAAACCGATGCCGCTGTCGGTTAAACAAAATTAAAGAAGAAAAAGTTGGATTGATCAATAAAATTGTCACAATTTGTAAAGAAGAAAAAAAGAGAGAGGAGGAGGAAGAAAGTGGCTAGAGTTTTTTTTTTTAAATGGGAAGAAATTTTGATTCAATTTTAAATTTTATTTATTATACAAGAGTTCATTTTGCAAAGCTATGATAATGAATCTTCCCATAAGTTAATCAAATTTATTGGATAATAAATACATTAAAATTCGAAAAATTAAAATTATCTTGCTTTTCAATTCATCATAAGAGAAAAAAAACATTATTATGACACTTGTAAAAGATCTATCATCGAATCGAAAGAGGAATTTACAAGTATATAACAGTCAATTTGTTTAGAAACTTTACAAAGACGAGTATCATTATGTAGTTAAAACCAACACTTTGTTGGTTAAAATATTGAAAAGTTATGCAAAAGGCTGGAAGACATGAGTTGGTGTTTGAATAAGGCCTGCCATGAAGACCCTAGTCCCAGACCTAAATCCACATGATTCTTTGTGTGAAAAGAGCAATTTGTAAGTTTAACTCACCTGGAATTAACATGAATGACTCAGTAAAATAATAGTCGCTCACTCACTCACTACATTGTTGTTCAGTTTTGGGGTTTGCTATAACTAAAATTCAGTTCCTTGTGTAATAAGAAATATGATTAACTAAAATGTGAAAAAAAAATAGCATGCAAGAGCATTTGATTCTTTAGACTGCAGATTTATGTTGCAAGTGGTAAAAGTGGTGGGGTTCACCGAGCAACATTGTTCTCATTGTGCTGAATGCCTGTGGTGGCAAAGGTATTAAGCAAGGAGATCCATTGTGTTTCACAGTCTTTATGAATGTGTTTTAGATATGAGAGGAGAACATAAAATCACCCAAAATGCATCAGCTCACACATTTGGGCTTTACTGGTGGTCTTCCAAATCATTGATTTTGGGGTTGCTAAAATGTCTTAAAGAAGTTGATTGCAAAGCATTGGTGGAAAATATAATTGGCTAAGAACTTGGCTTGAAAAGTCGATGCTTACTTGTGGAAGTGGAGTTGCGTTTGTCATCCAAAACCAGAGGGGTTGGTTGGGTGTTAAAAAGTTTGGAATAAGCCTTTGAATGCTTCCACCAGTCCATGCAACGGGGACAAGGCAAACTCGATCGACGTCATCTGCTCCAGGGGTAAGATAGTTTGCAGTTAGAGAACATGGGCTTACAAGGTGATGTGAATGTTGAAATCCTTGAAGCATTGCCCACGTTACGCACTCTAAGCCTTATGAACAATGATTTTGAAGGTGCGATGTTTAACGTGAGGAAATTGGGTGCACTGAAGGCTTTGTATCTGTCGAATAATCGATTTACCGGGGAGATACCTGATGATGCGTTCGAAGGGATGAGATGGTTGAAGAAAGTGGTGTTGGCTAATAATGGTTTCGCCGGTAAAATACCATCATCGCTAACCATGCTGCCCAGGCTTTTGATGCTGAGACTGGAAAGGGAATCAATTTGGTGGCCGGATACCTGATTTTAAGCGGAGCCCAAAGGTGGCTAGCTTCGCAAACAATCGATTGGAAGGTCCCATCCCCGCAAGCTTAAGCCATTTGGGTGCAACCATGTTCTCAGGTACTACCAACCATTCATTTACGTTTACTCATCAATATCTCTGCTGCCATAAGCATTCCAAACTCTGGCATGCCATGTTCATAACCAACCATGAAAACTAAGTAGAATGGGATTTGAATTTCACGGCAATACTTGCCACATTTAATATGATGCAGGCAACAATAATTTATGTGGGAAACCATTACAAGAATTCAGGTGGAGCGGTCCAATGGAGAGTCACATTTCCACTTCCACCCGGGTCCAGGAAGACAAGGCACCAACACATGCTCTCACGCTAGCGCTAATTCTGACATGTATGGTACTACTACTGCTCATCGTCCCAGCACTTGTATTAATATATCTGTCTCGAAGGACCCAAAATCCTCAAACATCACAGGGGACAAATGCTGTCGAGTCAAAGAAAAAAAAGGCGGTGAGGAGTCTTGAGCACGGGAAACTCACTTTCTTGAAAGATAGTCCCAAAGGTTTGGTATGCAAGATTTGTTAAGAGCCTCGGCCGAGGTTCTTGGGAGCGGGAATTTTGCAGCTTCGTACAAGGTGGTGATGTACGATGGACCCATGGCGGTGAAGAGGCATAAGCAAATGAAAAATGAGGGGAAGCAAGTTTTTTATGAGCACATGAGGAGATTAGGGAGGTTGAATCATCAAAACTTGTTGCCCCTTGCCGTATATCACTACATGAAAGATGAAAAATTATTGGCTTCTAACTACATGCAAAATGGCAGCTTGGCTACTCACCTTCATGGTAATTTTTTTCAATGCCTCTTAAAAATAACACTTCCAACTCATCATACTCATACAAATTTATTCTGGTATAAAGAGAGTAAAACTTACTTTGAATATAGTAAAGGGACCAGAACCATAATTTGACCAAAAAGTTTTCAGCTGCTAACTCTGCTTCGTTTTGTCCAGGCAACGATAAACCTAGTCTTGATTGGGAAAGTCAATTGAAGATCATAAAAGGCGTGGCGAGGGGGTTGAGTTACCTATACAAAGAGCTCCCGACCCTAATGCTACCCCATGGCAATTTGAAATCATCCAACGTGCTTCTCGACGACGCCTTTAACCCATTGTTATGTGATTACGGATTAGCACCGATGGTCAACCAAGAGCAAGTCCATTTGGTTATGGCTGCTTACAAATCACCCGAGTTTGCTCTTAAAGGTCGCATCAGCAAGAAAACCGATGTGTGGTGCTTTGGGATATTGATACTGGAGCTCGTGACGGGTAAGTTCCCAGAGAACTACCTAAACCCTAATTACGATGCTCAAACGAGTCTAGTCACTTGGGTCGCTGACATGGTTATGGAGAAGAAGATGGACCAAGTGTTTGATAAAGGGATGAAGCTGGGAACCAGGGACAAAAGGATTGGAACGATGAACCTTTTGAAGATCGGATTGAGTTGTTGTGAAGAGTATCTGAGGGTTAGACCCCAGTTAAAGCAGGTGATGCAAGAG